CGGCCAGCCGGGATAAAACGGACAGCCCACAAAGAGGAGGGGGGGGGGGGGAGAAAAACGCTGAGAGGATTCCCAGCCAGAGAAGACAGCTGGAAGCTGGGGGCGGAGCAAGAGACAGTGATCCCCAGCAGAGGCGGATCCGACACCTCACGCAGCGAGGGAGAAGCCGCCAACAGCGGTGAAGGTAAACCCGTGCTCGGGGCAGGAGCCTCGGTGAGGGAAAAGGCGGGGACGGAAAACCGAGGCTGGAGGAATCCCGAGCCTAGGAGACTCCATGGGGAACAGGGAGGCACTGGCCCTCTCCACAACATTCAAACAGGTGCGACTGCAGAGGGACCTGGGGGACCGGAGGATACACCACGAGGACAGTGACCATGTTGAAAGGCCCAGAGAGGGCAGCATTAATGAGAAGCCCCAGAGAGAGGGCACTATTACTGAGAAGCCCCAGGGAAGGGGGTAGCATTTTTGAGGAGCCTCAGAGAGAAGGCCGCACCATTGGGGAGACCCAGAGAGAGGGCAACGCCAGTGTGAAGGCCGAGAGACGGGGCCACACCATTGGGAAGACCCAGAGAGAGGGCAATAATATTCTGGGCTAAAAGGGGGCCAAGCCAGAGGCCAGGCAAACAGGAAGGGGCTAGATAGGAGCACGGGGTTGTACCTTGGGCACACACAGAGCGCACGGTGTTGGTGGTGGTTTTCTTGCATTTCTTTTTTTTTTTTGGTAGAGTATTTTCTGTTTTCCCATGTCTGGAGGAGCCGAGGTAGAGAGCAGCGGTGTGCTTATGGATTGAAAGACAGCAGTGGTGCACAAGATTGGCCGCAGGACCAACAGTGACCCGCCAGGCTGGGTATAGGGCGAGGTAGAGGGGAGGTGTAGCGTTGCAGAAGACCACTGGAGGAATGAGTGGCCAGCGAGGAAGATCATGCAGTACTGAGCCCCCCCACTGAAGAAGATTCAAAGTTGTGGCAGGCAAGAAAGGGGTGGACTGCATCGTGGGTAAATACCTCCTCAAGAGATCACCTGCAACAGCAGGGCAGATTCCGGTAGGCACCCGAACCAAAGAGGCGCGGAACAAAATGTTCGGGGCCAGGCAGGCACAAGGTCAAAATAAAATCAAAGCTAAAATTTGTCCTTACAAAAACCAGCACTACTTACAAGCATTCAATAAGTATATGCGATAAAAATCAAAATGGACTAAACCTCTGGCTACATGGGCCTCTGGGAAATTGAGAACAGCATTTTACAAACATGTCTTTCTGGTTAAGGATTTGTGCTAGCCAAATCTGAGGTTACTAAGAAATAACCTCAATCTACCTATTAAAATAAAGTGCAAGTGCTAGAATTGTTCTGTTAATTGAGAAACAATAAATGAAGGAGAAAACTAAACAAAACTAACTACACCCTTATCCTTTCAATGCAACACGTAATGAGGCAATTCATAAGACCCTGAGCCCTTCCTCCCCATCCTGTCCCCTCCCCACCAAATTGATAAGTACTGAGTTCAAGTGGAACTTGGCACTAGGGCTAAGTACAGAAGCCCAGACACTCAACTATGGATCCAAATGAGGACTTCCATCTGGGTCCACAGCTGACCATCAGGGCTCCTGGCAAACTAAAGCTTCTGGAAGGTTCTGAATGGAAGAGGAGGGAAGAAAGAAGTGGGGGAGACACGGAGATAAGAAAACAGAGAGAGACGCTACCACCTACCCGGTGGGGCAGCAGCTCCTGCCCTGGTCCATGGCTGATGCCACTGGCAGGTTCTGGGTCTGGGCTCCAGGTGGGAGCTTCCACTGCACCAGGAGGGCAGTGGGTCAGCTGCTGATGCCATCAGCAGGTACTGTGTTTGGGCTCCTGAACATGCTGGCAGCTTTCACAGCTGACCCACCACCCACTGGCTGTGGAAAAAGCCTTGCCTGGGTTCACAGCTGATGCCTGATACTTCTGGGTGGAAGCAGTCCTGCCTGCCCACCCGGCACCTTGCAGTGGCTGAAGCTGCTAGCTGCTCATGAGGCAGATCCAGTGAATTGGAAGAGGAAAATAAAAATGACAAAAATACAAGATCTCACCTTGCCTCTCTATCCCTTCTTCTCTCTCTCTAAAAACAGCTCCAGAGTAATCCATTGTAACCAGCAATTTCCCTGAAGAGTGTGTGTGTGTGTGTGTGTGTGTATATATATATATATTAGTTAGCATCCCGACAATTTAGATTCCCTTACCTTGCCCTAGCTCTGCCCTAGATGGATCTCACAAGTTTGGAAGCATTTAGCACTGTTATTTAGTTAGTTAGTTATTTTTACCAGCCCAAAATCTGGGACCAGAAAACATCCCTCTTTGCTAGAGATTTCCTGAACACCCCGCTCTTTTCAGGCACCAGTTTTTTGTACCTTTCTTTTGTTTCTAGGACACTCAGTATTATGCAGGCGAGTTTTTCCTCTCCACCACCCTTCTGGACAAAAGCTTTTGGGTCCATTTAGTCAGTCACTGTTTCACTCTATACAAGGAGCAACCATGACCTTCCATGAATGGGAAGGGCTATTGTTTTGTGAACAGCCAACATCCCCATACTGCCTTGCCCAAGATGCATACCAACTGCATGTCCCTTGGGTGTGTACTAAATACCTTGTTTGATTACGTTCCAGTTGTACCATGAAGTCACAGAAGTACATTAATATCAAATATTATAATACTTACAAACATGAAAATGACAAACTTAAACCCAGCTTCACTCTGGCTTCAAATAAAACTAAACACCACAAGAGTCAATCTAATTTGGGAGAAATCCATGCATGTTACACAGTGAACCCCAAGGGCAATTTTAGTTTTGAGATGAATCCATAACACCCTTCCTGGTCTAAGAGAAGAAACACCAGGAAATAGAGAAAGTGTTTGTTCATCCTCGGAGATACAGTTCCACTTGAGGAAGTAAACTGCAGCTTTAAGCTGAAGAAATGCAGATATCCAAATTTATAATCACACTGCCACTTCCCTCTCCCCCCAACTCAAAGGCTTAGATACAATTTTTTTTTAAGTTACTTGTGATAGAGTAGCCCCCCCTTCCCAAGTATTGTATAAGTATTCATTCAAGAGAATAAAATAATCCAGTTAAGACCAAAACTCAACTCCTTCCAATTAATTCATGGCCTTCAGAGATCCCTTAGCAGCATAAATGTGACCTTGTGTTCTGCGGATATTCTAGTCTAGACATTTCTAGGCACCGTTAAATATCCATACCTTTTCTAACTTAAAGTCATACCTACCTTTAAGTACTTAAATAAATCGCCCCAAATTTTTAGTTAATGTTCACTAAATGTTAAAATCATTGTGAAATTTAAGCATTGTGAATACTTCAAAGTAAAGCGATTTGCACCTCTTAAACTGTTTTATAAACAGTATAGCAAGTTTTGAGTACCCCATGAGGAATGCACAACAATCACATCATGGATGATGAAACTGCAAAAGGCAAGGTGATTTGCCAAAAAACAACAAAAAGCCATAGATGAGTCAGGATCATAATCAGCTCTAGTCCAGAAACATGAATCTACTCCACCAGACATTACAGTTTTAGGAGTTTGCAATGATGGAAAATCATTTAAGACTAAACTACATCTGGATGTAGTTTAGTTTGCAATGTTGCAAATTGCAGTGATGCAGCTGTTAGCTTGCCCCCGCCCCTGGCCATGGGAGAGGTGGGCAGGCTCTGGAGAAGAAAAAAAAAAAAAAAGGGAGATCGGGCCCCTCACCTCTTTTCCCTTCAGCAGGCAGAAGTGGTGAGGGACCCAATTCCCCCCCCAGTGGAGCTGGCCCATGTCTCTCATAGCCGGGGGGCAAGCTGCCAGCAGGCTGAGCGGCTCTTGAACTGTAGAGGGGCCCTGATTGTTCCCTCCACAGCAGCTTTGCCCCATGGGGCTGCCCAAGCAGGCTGCTAGTGGGCTGGGACTGCCCCAGTTAAGAGGCAGCACCTGGTGGATCCAACTCTTCCCCGAGCTCACCAGGGCTTCTAGTGCCCTGTGAATTGTCCCCCTCATCTTCCCACTACCTGGGACCACTGGAATGGGCTGGCTTGCCCCTTGGGCAGTGCAGGGAGGCAGCAGGAGGGTGGCTGGGTGTGCTGGCAGCCAGCAAAGGTTGCAGGGACAGTGCACAGGGTGCTGGAACCCCAGGAGGGCTTGGGGAAGCTTAGACTCTGCAGAAAAAGAGGATTGGGCCCCTGTGACAGGTACACAATCTGGGCCGACCTAAACATGGCCCGCAAACCTGTTCCTGGGGGCAACCACCTGCCATGCCTTGTTATTAATTGGTGTTAATTAGCAGGAGGCTGCCCTTGTACTGCCCTGCTGCCAGGGGGCACTATCTGCAGCTCCGTTTCCTTCCCTACACCGCAGTCCACACCTCACTGATGGAATAGATGTTATGTCTCTGCCCTATCACAATCTGGCCTCTTTTCGTCCTCTCTGGGCCTTCCTTCCTTTGATATGAGCTCCCTCTGGTGCTAGGGATCTCCCCGGCCCTCTCTCACTCTGTGCCCTCTTCTCTGGGTCCCCCTCCTCTGGGGCTCCCCGGTAGTGTCGCCCCCTCTCCAGGGCTCACCATGCCTGTACTGGGGCTTCTCAGTAACTGCCCCCTTCTCTGGGGCTTTTGCCCCCTCTCGGGGCCTTCTGTCAAGCCGCCCCCTCTCTGGGCTCAACTTGCCTGCACTGGGCTTCTCAATAAGGCTGCCCCCTCTCTGGGGCTCACCATGCCCTCACTGGGGCTTCTCAGTAATGCCCCCTCTCTGGGGATTCTCAACTGCCCTTCTCTAGGGCTGGGGTCTATTCACCCCAAACGCTGTGCCCTCACTAGCACTGGGGTCCTCACACTCCTCTGTGAGTTCCCTTATGAGACCTCCTCCAACCCCTAATAGCATCTCCCAAACCACCGGTCACAAACAACAACATAAACGCAAGCCCTTCGACTATAACATAAACAGAAGCCACCCGACCCTAACAACATTCGGTCCTACCAAAGACCCTTTAACTCTCAGCAATGTTGGATGCAGCTCCTGTATCAGGTTTCCCCTCTCTCCCAGGGCAGAGAGTTCCTTCCTCTTTGGCAGCTGGGAGAGCACTACCTCTAGCCCCAGCCCCTAGGGTTTATAAGGGAGCCAGGCCATGCCCCTTCTGGTCAGCTGACCTACCCTGGTTACCCCGGCAACCCACAGCTGGGCTCCTTATTTCCTGCTAGGGCTTCCTCCCTAGCAGTTTTCCCCTCTTTGGGAGCAGGGCACCTCAGTGCTCTGTGACAGCCCCTCACCACTTTGGAAGGCAAAAGTGGCAAGGGGCCTAATCCTTTTGTAAGCCCGCCGAGCCCAAGCTTCCCCAAGCCCACTTAGGCTTCCAGCGCCCTGTGCACTATCCCCGTTGCCTTTTTTGGCCACCAGCACATTCAGCTGCCTTCCTGCTGCCCCCTCCCCCCACATTGCCCCAGGGGCAAGCCAGTCCATTCTTGGGTGGTCCCAAGCAGTGGGAAGGTGTCCGGTACTGTGCAGGGGGTGCTAGAAATGCTGGTGGGCTCGGGGAAGAGTTGGATCAGGCCAGGTGCTGCCTCTGAGCTGGGGCAGTCCTGTCCCACTAACAGCCCACCCAGGTGGCCCGGGGGGGGGGGGGTGCCCCCACTGCAGAGGGAAGGACCAGGGCCCCTCACAGCTCAGGGGCCACTTAGCCTGGCAGCAGCTTGCCTCCCAGCCAGCCACAGACAGGCTCCACCTCTGACAAAAAAAAGACTGGGCCCCCTCACCATAATATGACAGAAAATTTGAATTGGTGGGGTTTAATTAAAAACCCACTGCTTTAATTTAGGGGGAATAAAATAAAACCTTGGAGATTATACCCCCATCGTATGTACAAGTGCCCTGCAAAAACAGGACCGCTATTTACCACCATATGAAAATCCTCAGCTTTCACGCTTTTTCTTCCTCTAGCCTATCACTCTAAGATATTACCCAAAATATGCATTTACTGTTCAAACACCTTAAGAGGAAAGATGGAGTTAAAAAATGGTACTTTGACCACCTTTTTAAACCTGTTCCTGAGAGAAAATTCTGTCCAAAAGAACATTTCCAGTGATCAGAGATTGCATTTCTACTTCCTGCAAATGACATTTTATTTATAGCAGCAGTGTTTGCTATATAATAACTGATTGGGAACGGCTGCAGATGAGCATCACTGCATATACATGAATGACAATGATAAAGCAGTCATCAAAAAGCTACATATTTAAATATTCAAATAAGGCCATCTACATAAATCCCTCACCTGAATTTAATTTTGCAGCATTTGCTTCATAGATTCATGCCAGCCCAAGGAAATTCCCTGCAGAACTTGGTCTGTTGCTTTGGAGAGACTGTCTTGGGAAGAGGGGAGGGGGATCAGGTGAAGGAACACCTTGAGAATCTGGACATTCACAAGTCTGCGGGCCCAGACGGAATGGATCCGAGAGTCTTGAAGGAGCTGGCAGACATCAGTGCACCCCCCTTGGCAAAGATATTTGAAAACTCGTGGCACTCGGTGACGTCCCGGAAGACTGGAAAAGGGCCATCTTGGGCCATCTTGGGATGATCCAAGGAGGGTCATCCCTCCTCCTCAAGAAAGGGAGGAGGGATGACCCAGGAAATTATAGACCAATCAGTCTGACGTCCATCCCTGGAAAAATCCTAGAGGAAATTGTCAAGGAGTCCATCAACACCAGACTAATGGAAGGCAAGCTTCTGAAGGCAGCCAACATGGCTTTGTGACTGCTAGGTCTTGCCTAACCAACCTCATCTCCTTCTATGACCAGGTGACATGAACCCTGGACAAGGGAGATGACGTGGATGTCATATATCTGGATTTCAAGAAAGCCTTTGACCTAGTTCCTCATGATGTCCTCATGGCTAAGCTGGGGAACTCTGGCCTTGATCACCTTACAGTCCAATGGCTAAGTAACTAGCTACAGGGTCAGACCCAAAGAGTACTAGGTGACGTGACAAAATCAGTGTGGTGCAGGGTGAGCAGTGGAGTCCCTCAGGGCTCAGTACTTGGGCCAGTACTCTTTAACATCTTCATTAATGATCTGGAGTCAGGAGTCAGATGTAAACTGGCAAAGTTCGTGGATGACATCAAATTATGGGGACGGGCAGTCACACTGCAGGACAGGCTGGGGATACAGGCCGACTTGGACACACTCCAAAACCGGATGGCCTTCAATGTTGAGAAGTGTAAGGTGCTTCACCTCGGTAAGAAGAACCCTCAACACACTTACAAGCTTCGCAGTGCTACGCTTGCTAGCACCACAACCAAAAGAGACTTGGGGGTCCTGATTGACCACAAGATGAATATGAGTCACCAATATGATGCTGTGGCTGGCAAAGTAAACCAAAGTCTGCCACGCATCTACCGATGCATCTCAAGCAAAACCAGGGACGTCATCCTCCCACTTTACTTGGCCTTAGACTAGACATAAGAAAAAAGTTCTTTATGGTGCAAGCGTCCAGGGTCTGAAACAGACTCCCCCACAGAGGTGGTGCAAGCACCTACTCTGGACTCTTTCAAAAAAATGTCTGGATATTTTTCTTGCTGGGATCACTTGATCCCAGCTGATTTCCTGCCTATGGCAGAGGGGCTGGACTCGATGATCTCATGAGGTCCCTTCCAGCCCCTAATGTGTATGAAATCTATGAAACATTTCTGCACATTTCCCTTTTCCTTCAGGAAATTACACATTGCTGTGCAAGAAGTATCCTAGTTGACAGGATAGTTGATGTGTTCCAACCATTAACATCTCGATGAAAACAGCAACTTTATACTCCTGCCCCCAGGTATGCCAGTGCTGCTGCTCTGCCAAAGCTTAAAACTTCATCAACTATTACACTGGCCTGCCAGTGACTCATCCCCTAAAAGCATGACACATGCCTGCTTAAATCTATGAGAACAAATTAAAGAACATTTACAGACAGCCTCTACTGTCAGACAAGGCTTGAAAGTAAACTATCAAGGGGTGCTCAACCCCCAGCCTGTAGGCCAAAACCAGCCCCCAGCACCTTTTCATCCAGTCCATGGAGCTCCCTATGGTCCCTGGGGAGCCCCATAGGCCACGGGATCCCAATCCAGTAGTGGGACCAGGCAAGGCAGCACAGGGTTGTGGGGCTGGGCAGAGGTAGTAAGCAATCCCAGGGCCTTGATCTGGGCATGCAGGGCCAGGTGGAGGCAAAGCAGTTCCATGAGTCTGGGACCCTTGGAACACAGGACTGGGTGGAGGTGGCATGGGACCCCAATCCCAGCACACAAGGCTGGGTGGGGGCAGCACAGCCTGGATCCAGTCATGTGGGCCTAATCTGGTGGTGCGGGGTCCAATGTGGCTCATGGACTGGTCCCATACCCCTCATTTGGCCCACAGAGCCAAAAGGTTGAGCACCACTGCTCAGACAAAAGTTCAATGGGATTCCTCTCACTGTGCATTCAGTGATGACACTACAATGCAAGAAGCCACAACTGCAGAGTAACAAGAACGTTAATTAGCAGACAACACCAAGAGCATGTTTTTTCACTTTCTCCCATTCTTTCTATGCATATTTATTAGCATGATCCACTGCAGGGAGAGATGCTTGCACAAAGTAATGCTTTTTACAGAGGGGTGTCTGGATCTGGCTCATGGGACCATGAGAGTTTGACACCCCTGCTTTACAGGTATTTTTGCAGCATAACTTTAGAAATCTTAAATAAAAATAAAATCCTGCCTAAGCATTAAGTTGCTTCAAGTAACATGTTATCTAAAGAGGTTTCTTTAGAAGTGTAATTTCTGTGTGTGTCAGAAGACTTAAAATAACTTAAGATCTTAAAGATGTGCGGAAGCAGGGCAAAAAAAGAAAAGCTATAGCTAAATAATACAAAACAACATTGCTGGCTTTGCTTGGCTACACCCATGCAATTAATCTCTAATTTTGATGGGTTTGCTTGGGTATAGAACAGAATATATATTTTTGTAATGTTAATCCCTGTCCTACTCAAAGTTTCAAACCAACTGCCTGGCAGGGGCAGCAGCATTTCTACTCAGGCACTGAGGGAGTCGCTAGACTTCATGACTCATTAGAATACCTAATTCCTTCTAAACTTTTCACTCCACAAGTATTAACAACCCACCTTTCTAATGGTCTTGATGTCCAGGAAATCCAGCTAGCCTTTCTTCTGCAATGCTGCTGTCTGCTTGCTTGCTCCCACTAAAATAGCTCCTATTTTCCAGCCCTGCCTTCTGTTTTTAACTCTGGCTGGAAACATTAATTTTGCATTGAAATAACTTCAGAGCAAAACACCACTAGTATGACCAAGGCACACGTAGAGTTCAGTACCCAGCTGCTGAGAACATCTCTAGTTGTCCTGCAGTATTATATGTCAGATACCTGATGCCATGGGCAGGTGGCTATCTAATATGGTTTAAATTGGATTGAATTGCTGTATTTAAAACAAGTCATGGTGTGTTTTTACATAACTGTAGATTTAATATAAGCAGCCATGTAGCTGTTATTCTTTAATTCCAAATACTCAGAACCAAATATACAAGGGTGTTTCAGGAAGTAATGGCCATTTTGAAAGAACACTTATTCGAGGAGAGGGAGTGGTAGACATCCTCTTCAGGGGGGGAATGGAGCAGTTTGGCAAAGCCTCTGCCTGCATCTCACACCAGGATCTCCAGAGTGAGAAGCAGACAGGAACCAGTTGATGGCTGCTCTTCCACTTCCCTCTCAGTCTACAGAAGGTGTGGGAGCAGCTGTCCCCTGCATCTGGGAGTGGGATGGGCAGGCAGGGCTGGAGCCAGGATCACGTGGTGGTGACAGCACAGGGCCAGGGTCCGGGACAGAGCTGCAATCTGCTTCCTGCCTATCCCTGTGATGGGCACCAGTTCTACAGCTCCATCCCATCAACCTGGCCAAGCGCACCCTACCTGCAGAGGTCCCAAGCTGGTCTTCATGGAGAACCCACTCACCTGCTCCATCCAGCACTCCTGGAGGTGGGTGTGGAGCAGATAGCCTCACTGCCCGGGAACCCTGGCCTGAGTCTGGTGGAAGATACTGGTAGTGGCAGGCC